AAGGAGATCTAAAGGTCTAGATGAAATGAAGTATGACAAGGAAGGGTCCACTGATAATAGACCAAGTGACTCACTTATCCAATTGGATGCAACCATCCTTGTCGAGGATAAAGGCTAAATGAGACAGAAGAGTGAAAAAAGAATGATCCGAGTCTAAACTAATTGGACTAAGGCAAGATAGATAAGCACCCTAACTAATCATGACAAGAATGTTTAATGAAGGCATCAACTTACCTTTTGGTAGATCTGACTTGAGAAAGAATCCAGTTTCTTGTCATTACTAGATGCTTTTAAGGCTCATTATCGGGGATCAATAATTGAAAATATAATAGAGCCTTACAATCATCATAAAGGATCTCCATGTTAAGGAATGACCTATCTATTGGGTTATATTGATTAACCCTTTGTTTAATAACCTAGTTCCTTTCTGTCGAAAGGAGCTCCTCATCCAGGGATCAAGAGCCAATAGCCGGACTACAACCGATTGACAAAGCCTAGCCTATCAAGTCATCATGTTGACCCAAAGCTAATCAAGTCCAACTGACCTATTGTACCAAATCATCCTAGCCAATTGAACTGGCTTTATCGAGCCAAATTTATACTAACCTAGCCAACCGAGTCATAAACAACTGAGCAATAGACTCATACATGTAAACTACCTAGAATATATTGTGTGGCTCCCATTAAAGTAGGGACATAAACCCAATATCACTATATGGTGTCATCTCTCCTATAAATGAGGCGATCCTTTTTTTGAGAAAATATTAATAGACATGATATTTTACTACTCATTACTGTTCGCTCATCTCTCTCTCTCTCTCTCTCTCTCTCTCTCTCTCTCTCTCTTGCCGTGCTTCAAATGCACGCAACCCAAGCACCACTCTCATTTCTTACACTCTAAACATTTGCGTGTAATTTGCGAACAAATCAAGATTCAACATATTTAAGTGAGAGTTCAACTTGTCTATTAGAACCATAAAAAAGTATAGTCATCCATGGAAGTTCAATTTTTTCATTAAACTCATCAAGAATTGGTGTCACCCCAAGAAGGCTTCAAGTTGTCCATTGAATTGACTAAGAAGTAAGGCTTCGAAACATTTAAAGATATTTTCCAGAATTTAGTTGGTCTTGATGAAGTCGATATACAACTTCATTAGGATTCGTTCCTTATTGGAAAACCTTCGTATGCATTGTTAAAGGTAAGCAATATTTTTTTTTTTGACAATCCTTCATTAGGCAATGTCATGTGCTTTGACTTCAATTTTTTTTCCTTTCACCTTTCATTATTCTTTCACCTCTCAACTTTGTCAGTGAAATTTATATGTTATCCACAAATAAAATTTGAATTCAACAAAATGAAATATCATTTTACGTAAGTATTTAGATCTGTTATATAAGCTCGTTGTTCATGAATAACTTGTGTTCAGCTCGCTAATTACCTTATGTTTGATTTGTTCGTTAAGCAAACAAATGAAATACAAATATTTTTTAGCTCAATTTATAAATTCATTCATATTTACCTGATTTGGCTAAAATTAATTAAATAATAAATAAATATCATTAATAGATATATATAGATTAAAATTTTATATTGTATGGAAAAAATATTAATTTTTATTAGATTTTAAATCATTTTTTATAGGATTATAAATAAATAATATTTTTTTAATATTGCATAGGTTAATACATAACAATTGCATGGTCTGTATCTAAATGTTGAAAAAATATATAAAATCCACCTCCACTACAACCTAACGCCCCCCTCCCTATCGAAATTAATCCCACATGGAGAATATTGGAATGAAACCTCGATCTGCTCTCTTTAAAAGGAAAAAGGAAGAACATTTCTTCAGGATTTCAACTTGATGCTAGCCACACAACACATGATTGTGTAAATTATTTGGTTTTATTCTCTCTAGAAAGTCTTAAGAAAATTGAAGATTTAATTGTATTATTTGTTTTTAACATTGTTATTATTGGGTCACAAGCTCTAAATATAAAAAGTAGAGGGTTGTGTTAGGTAGTCGACACCCAAGGTATAATTTTTTGTCAAAAAATCATGATATGAATATTTCAACTCCTTTTATAAAAGTTACGACACTCTCTTGAAGCGGCACATTGTGTGACCTAAATACAGTAAAAAGTGTGCAAGGGTCAATACATCGACGTCTGAGTGTAGTGTCAAATAAGCAAGAATTCCTACATTATAGATGAATGCAGATAAAGAAGTTAATCCATGAAACTAATATTAAGATAGAATCTTAGAATATAAGTATTCTCACAGGTTAATTAATGGAATTAGTACAGAATCTAAGTATTCTCACAGGTTAATTAATGGAATTAGTACATAAGAAGATAAATATCTTATGTATTCACGAAACAAAATGAGTTAGAGAAATGCTAAGAAGATTGATCGCTTATATTTTAAACTTCAATATTTAGGAACGAGTTACAATAGAAATGATGTAGGTGTAATTATAAATAGAAGTTTGAAAGATAATATTCTAATAATTAATATAATTAAAGGTAGAATTATAGCCCTAAAAGTTGTTGTTGAAACTAAGATTTTTATTATTATGAGTGATTATGCTCCTCAAATAGGTTTAGATATAGGTTCAAAATGATCTAGAAGATTTAATACAAATGATACCTCTTGAAGAAAGAATTTTTATTGCGAGAGATTCAAATGTACACAGTTGATAAAGTGGTGGAAGATTTTGGAATCATTCATGGTGGCTACAATTTTGGAATTATTAATGAAGATGGTAGAATCATATTAGATTTTTCTTCAGTATATGCTTTTTTATTACTAATCATTATTTAAGAAAATGATGAGCATATTATTACTTATAAGAATAGATATAATAAAACATAAGTTGATTATTTCCTTATTAGAAAATGAGATTGTCGAGAATGTAAAAATTGTATGATCATTCCAATTTAAAATTTAAATACTTAATATCAATTATTAGTCATAAATTTTAAGATGATGACTTGTAAGATAAAGAATATAATTAAATTTTATCATAAAATTAGATGTTTGCACATAAAAGGCATAAATAAAATTATTTTTTTTAAGATTTTAGATGTTCATAAAGAAGGTAATTTTGTATCGGATAAAATAACAAGCACAACTAAAAAAGAGTCAAAAGATATACTTGGAGAATCAAAAGGAAATTCTTTTATAAATAAAAATAGTTGGCGATGAAATAATAATGTGCAAGAAAAGATAAAATATAAAAGTTGTGTTTTAAAAATTTGTTTCAATGTAAGAACTTAGAGAACTAAGAAAAATATAAGGTGGCCCGCAGACGGTCTAAAAGAACAATTTGTGACACTAAAAATTTTATTTTTATTGATCTTTATAATATATTAGATACTAAAGAGGGTGAAAATATGTATGTATAAACTAGCCAAATAAAAACAAAAGAAAATTAAAAATTTAACTCAAGTAAAGTGCATTAAATATGAAAATAAAAAAAATGTTTTTTTCTTAGAAGAAGATATTCAACATAAATGAGTAAACTATTTTGACAAACTTTTAATTAAGTTATTTGAAAATATGATCAACCTTAGTCATCTTAATATCATTAATAATAATAAAATATTTTATTTTTATCGCCGCATTATTAAAAACGAAGTTGACAATGTTTTAAGGAAAACTAAGGGGGGAAAATCAGTTGGAGCTAATTATATCTCAATTGAAGTGTCAAAATATTTATGAGATTCGAGAGTTTCTTGGCTTGCTAAACTCTTCAATATTATTTTAAAAACTAAAACAATGCCTGAGGAGTCGGGGAAGAGCATTTTGGTCCTCATTTTTAAGAATAAATGAGATGCACAAGAGTGTGCTAATTATAGATAAATCAAGTTGATGTGTCATACTTTAAAATTATGGGAGAGGGTAATTGACATAGGTTAAGGCATGATACACAGATTTCTCATAAACAATTTGGATTTATGCCAAACATGCCTATTATGAAAGCTATACATTTATTGAGAGGTTTGATGGAGAAGTACAAAGAAAGTAAGAAGAATCTACATATGATCTTTATAGAAAAATGCTTACGACAAAGTTCCAAGAAAAGTTTTTTGGAGAGTTCTTGAGAAGTAGTTGATATGACTTATATTCAAGTCATTAAAGATATGTATACTATAGCTATTACTTGTGTTCGTATAGAAGGAGAATTGACAAAAAAATTTCCTATTTCAATTGGATTACGCCAGAGGTCGGATTTAAGCCCATATACTTTAGTTATGGATGCTCTTTTTGTACATTTACATGAGGGTATACCTTGGTGTATGCCTTTCACTGATAATAACCTTCTTGTGGATAATAATAGAGAAAATTTCAGGAGAGACTTGAATTATGGAGGTCTACATTAGAGTCTAAAAGCTTTTGTTTGAGTAGACCTAAAATTGAATACATGGAATGTAATTTTGTAGTAGTAGCTCTAATGACAGAGTTGTAACTGACAGAGTTGTAACTATGTTGTAACTATGGGTGATCAAATCATTAAAAGATGTGAACGTTTTATATATCTTGGGTATATTATTGAAAGTGATGGTGATATAGATGGTGTTGTTATTAGTAGAATTCAAGTTAGTTGATTGAAGTGGAGGATGCATGATAGAAAAGTACTACTTTGACTTAAAAGAAAATTTTATAAGATGACAGTGAGACTTGCGATGCTTTATAGTACAAAATGTTGACATTTAAAAGAGAAACATAAAATAAAAATATTGGTGAGATGAGAATGCTTAGGTGGATGAGTAACTCTACACTTAGAGACAAAATGCAAAATGAATATATTCATGATAGGGTTGGCGTAGCTTAAGTGAAGAACAGAATTAGAGAGATTCATCTTAGATAATTGGGTCATATTCATGTGATGATCAAATTAGAAGAGTAAAATGTTATAGATTCAGCATTAATATATATATATTTTTTTTGGATTTTATCCAACGGACGAAATTTGATCGGATGTCCCCGGTTTGTGTATCGGTCCCGCGCGTAGCGGGCAGGCGGTCCAGGCATGGGAGCCGAAACAAGAAGCCAAGTCTGTTTGTAACCCTAAAAGTAACATGATCAAGCCAATTCCGCCATATTCGCTGCGATCCCTTGTCGTTCTGAGCCAGCGGTACTAACGGCGCGGTTCGGAGGTGGGCCGTCGCCTTGGGAGCATCAGTGATCGAGAGCGGTAGCAAGCAGCGAGCGATGCAGCCGGTGGAGGAAGAAGGAAAAGGTGCCTTCGAGGAAGACGACGAACTTGATGACAGTGAAGGGGACGACAGTGACATGGAAGACGACCTGGATGATGATGAAGAAGAATTTCCTGATCTGTCGCCACCGCAGCACTCTCAGCCGTCGTCTCTTCCTAAAGACGAACCCGATTCCCCAATCACCTTTCTGAACCCTAACCCTAACCACGCTGTCACGCCTACTAGAACAGCCCCGCAGAACGGGTCAATTAAGGCTGTCCCCATCTCGGTAAGCGACATCCCACCTGCGCATATCGTGTCGGCGGCGGAAGATTCCAGGCGCGTGGTGTCGGCCACTTCGGTTGACGATTCACGGCGGCTGTTCCAGCGTCTTTGGACTGACGAGGATGAGATCACCATCCTGCAAGGGTTCTTAGAGTTTACGACGCAGCGGGGGACGACCCACGCTTCTCACCAGTACGACACTGGCCCTTTCTACGAGCAAATCAAGAAGCAGTTGCAGCTGGAGTTCAACAAAAATCAGCTCATCGAGAAACTCCGTCGTCTGAAGAAGAAGTATCGAAACGTCGTCAACCGAATGGTATCGGGCAAAGATTTTGTTTTTAAGAGCGCCCACGAGCAGGCCACTTTTGAGATCGCCCGGAAGATCTGGAGTGCCAGCGTCAAACGCGGCCGCGACAGCGAAGATGATGAGTTCACTCCCAATCCTGCATCCAGCATTTTGGAATTTGATTCTGGATTTGGTGTTGGCGCTGCTGCAGGTGATGGCTTCCTAAGTTCAGAGAGGAAACTATCAAGGTCATCAAGAAAGAGAATCAGGATGACTAATTCTGAACAAGAGGCTGCTGTTGCTGCCGCTGCAGCTGCAGCTAATGGGGTGGCTGTGGAGGTTCCCATAGCTGCACCACTAGATCCAACATCGTCTGTTCCAATTCCAATCATTATTGAGGAAACGGTGAAGAGTTGCCTATCACCGTTATTCAAGGAACTCCTACAGTCTGCAATGGCTGGGCCTCAGGGAGGGCTTATACCTGGGGTTGGAGGCATTGGTGGTGGTGGGCTACTTGGGATGAATCCTCTGCAATTGGGAATTGGGAATTTGCAGGGGAATCTTCTGGTTGATGAGAAGTGGAGGAATCAAAACATTCTTGAGCTGGAGGTGTATTTGAAACGGATAGAGCTTATGCGTGATCAAATTAAGTCAACTTTGGAGGAGCTCAAGTCATCAACCCCATCTGCTGGGGATTGATTGGTGAGATTCTGAACATTGATTGGTTAGTGTATTTTACCTTTGTTTACCGCTCTAGTTAGTGTTAGTAATCTACCTATTGAGACAAGGAATTTCCGAAATTGCTCTCTTTCATGTTTTCCCAATTCTGCTTGGTCTTAATTGTTTTTTGATAGGGTGACTCAGAAAATGGTTGGAAGATGGGAGGTTGTGTTTCTCTTCACTGCCCAATTTGAAACCATCAATATTTTATGCACTTAATTTTTCGACGAGGCAGTAGAAATATGCAGGATATATTGGAAGGTGCAGGAATAGTTTTGATCATTAAATCCAATTCTCTTCAGGAGGTGCTGGAGATAGTTTTACACTGGTTCATTTGTTTGCTCATGTATTTGCTTTTGTTTGTATGTCTATATGTAGCTTAACTTGATCGGTGTTAGTGTCATATATAGCACCACAGTTTGGGATAATAATAAATGTCTGATTGCTTCATGTGTTTGTGGTCTTGTGGAGATTTGATGATTTTACACTAATTATCCTTCCTCTAACTTTGATTATTGAATATTAAACATGAATTTATGCACTTCTATTATTTATAGAAGCTTTACTGACATTTGTTCTGCTTATCTTTTCATTATATTTATCGGATTTTTTTTATTTCATAAGTTTTAGATTGGAAACATCTCCAAGTTGCTCTGGTGCTTATTCTAATGGTAATTACTGTTTAATTCTTATCTGTTTTCAAACAGTGAGCCAAAAAAAGGACTTCAAACAGGTGTAAAATGCTTTCAGATTCTTTGTTGATGAGACAACATTTAAAAGGTCAATCATTGCATTTGTCTAGACGTGCCTCAATTTGAGGCGCTGAAGAATTGCCTTTAGGTTAAGCCTTGTTCCTGCTGGCGAGACTTACACTTTTTTAAAATGAGGCGTACACCTTAGGGCGTTTTGCCTCGAGGCGTTTGAGGCACGATCATTTTTGTTCTCGAGCTCCATCCTTATTACAACATCCACTTCCTCCCTTTGAGCTTCAACGAGCCCAACATCCGCTTTGCCACTTTGAGTGTCGTCTCGAGCTTGTTTGAGTGTCCCTGTCAGGGCTTTGGCTCTCTGTCCAGCATTGAAGCCCCGTCCAAGCCTTGTAGCGTCGAGCGTCGAAGTCCCTTCGAAGCCTTGCAGCATTCCTCTCTTTGTCGAGTGTCAAATTCCCGTCCAAGCCTTGCAGAATACTCATTAAAGCCTCTTCTTCTCCACTGCCTTCTTCTTTGCTATTGACCAAAATTTTCCACCAGTTCTGCTTCTACGACATGACCTTCCCATGAGTTGCAGGCTTGTAGTCGATTGGAGTCTTCCTTGATCTTCTCGCGAGCTTTCCATTAGCTTATAAGTTTTTAATTGTTTTGTTTTGAGGCTTACACTTCGATCTGTCTTTAGGCTTACGCCTTGCCTCGCTAAGGAAAAATATCTCACTTCCAGATTTCGCTTTTTAAACATTGCCATGAGCAATACCTTTTTCACCCATTTTAAAAAAA